GGAGCTCGGGCGCCGGCCACACGGTAACTTTCCGCCCTTTTCCCGGACTCCGGCCCGTGGGCCGCGGAGGGGGCTGTCTCTCTCGGGAAGGACTCAGTTGGGGATCGGAGCCCCGAGTTTGCTCACCTCCACCGTTTGAATTGGGGGAGCACAGGAAGAGGTTCAGGACGAGCGGTGGGGGCAAGCCCGGTGAGTTGGTGGGCGAATGTGTGCAGGGAGCGGGCGGAGCGGTGAGGAAGCGAGAGCTCCCGAGTTTGCAGAGAGCTGCTTTGTGTTTGGTATTTTGAGAAAATGGCCGAATGCCTATTTCAGTTAGGAATGCCGCCGCCGAGGCAGGCGCCGGTGGCAGCAGCACATAGGAATTTCGTGCAACACGTTGGGCTTTCAGGCAGTGCCCAAACGGTCTTCCTGACAAATGTTAAAATTCCTGTAAGAGTCGTGGGCAGGGTGGGTTGGGAAGGTCGATGTTGGGTTAAATATCCGAATAGCTTGTGCTGTTAAGCCTTGGAACTGCTTTGCCCTCCGTTCTCTGTGATGGCATTTGAGTCCAACTTTTGTTGGTGCAAATAACTAAACGGGTTTATACACTTGGGTGGAATGGATTGCTTTTTATCTTTCGGTTTAACTTTATTATTTAGTTCTGTGTCTTTGCTTTTTCTGATTTGCAGAAAGGCACAGGCTGGAGACTAGCACCTTTTAGACTGGAAAGTAACTTGGTTAAGATCAGTTAAAAACCCAACTTGTTTTCAGGAAGGTGATCTTGTAATGGCTTCCACTGGGCAAGTAGGCCAAGTCAAGCACAATGGAAGAAAGTTGCTGATTGTGGCGTTGAGTTGTGCGATTGTTTTATTAGGGGGTTTGAAAAAAAAAATGTTGACCTTCATTTGTGAAGTTTCGAATAAACCAAACTTCCCTTTTCATAGGAAAAGAGGCCCATACTTTTTTTCCGCTTTTAAATGTGGGGAGTCATCAAAAAATTGAGACTAAGTGGTACTGTCTCGCAGTTTTTTTTTCTTCTTTTTGAAGTTAGTTGCGTTCACATGAAATTCAATTAAATTGACCAGTTATTATAGGCTTCCTTCCAGACTTGTGTACTTACACATGCACAGAATGGCTTGTTAATTTCTTGGCTTTCTAATTCAGGCCATTGAAGTATTGAAGAGGAAAGTTGGAAGGAAAATAGTTTACTACTAGTGTGTTGGGTTTTTAAAATTATATTTTTTTCCCTTATAGTGGGAATCAGACATAGGGCACTGCACATGGTGGGTAAGTGCTCTACCACTGAACTACTTCCTACCCCTTTTTCATTTTATTTTGAGAGGGTGTCATACCTGTGATTCTCTTGCCTTAAGTCCTGAGTAGTTGGTTTTACAGGCATATGCCACCAACACTGAGCTTAAACAGTTTTTAATTAACATTATAAATGAGTGTAGGGGGCTGGCGTTGTGCTTGGGTGGTAGAGCATTTGCCTGGCACGTTTGGGGCACTGGGTTCGATCCTCAGCACCACATAAAAATAAATAAACAAAATAAAGGTATTGTGTCCACCTACAATAAAAATAATTTTTAAAAAATGAATGTAAGTTTCCCCACCACCACCAGAAAAAAAAAGTGCACTTGCCTGTCAGTGGTAGACCTAGTTGATGAATGAATTATGTTAAACAATTGGTAGAATTTTCTTTAGGGGTAGAGGAAGTTTGTATGTGACTCAAGTAAGAAGATTGGGAATTAACAAAACTATTTTAAGGTTTCTTTTTAGAAGTTATCAAAACTCATTTGAGTTTTGGAGGTTATATTGAGAACTATGTAGTTTTCAGTTAGGAAGAATTAGAACTTTGGGGGTCATGGCCACTTGGGAGGCTGAGGCAGGAGGATTACAAGTTCAAGGCCAGCCTCCGAAATTTAGGGAGGACCCAAGCTATTTAGCCGCATCCAGTCTCAGAAAAAGCAAATGGACAGTATTAAATAATAAAATTAGAACTTTACGGGACCCAGTCTCACTGGGAATGTAGCTCAGTGTGATAAAGTACCCTAGGATTCAATCCCCCAGTACTGTACCTACCCACCCCCCCCCCCCAAATAAAAGAGCAGAATTAGAATGATGCTTTGGTTTTAGGCTCCTAAGCATTGTGCTTAAACTGTTGCTCTTGTGTTCTTTTTTGTTGTTGTTGTTCCTAATTCAGAATACAGTTATGGCTACCCAGGTGATGGGGCAGTCTTCTGGAGGAGGAGGGCTGTTCACTGGCAGTGGCAACATTGGCATGGCCTTGCCCAACGACATGTATGACTTGCATGACCTCTCCAAAGCTGAACTGGCTGCTCCTCAGCTTATCATGCTAGCAAACGTGGCCTTAACTGGGGAAGTGAATGGCAGCTGCTGTGATTACCTAGTTGGTGAAGAAAGACAGAGGGCAGAATTGATGCCTGTTGGGGATAACAACTTTTCAGATAGTGATGGAGAAGGACTTGAGGAATCTCCTGAAATAAAAGGTGAACCTAATGGACTCGAAAACATGGAACTGAGAAGTTTGGAAGTCAATGTTGTAGAACCACAGACTGTATTTGAGGCATCAGCTGCCCCAGAAATTTACAGCTCAAATAAAGATCTTCCTAATGAAACACCTGGAGCAGAGGACAAATGCAAGAACTTGAAGACCAAACCCTTTCGCTGTAAGCCATGCCAATATGAAGCAGAATCTGAAGAACAATTTGTGCATCATATCAGAGTTCATAGTGCCAAGAAGTTTTTTGTGGAAGAAAGTGCAGAGAAGCAAGCAAAAGCCAGAGAATCTGGCTCTTCCACTGCTGAAGAGGGAGATTTCTCTAAGGGCCCCATTCGCTGTGACCGATGTGGCTACAATACCAATAGATATGATCACTATACTGCGCACCTGAAACACCACACAAGAGCTGGAGATAACGAGCGAGTCTACAAGTGCATCATTTGCACTTATACAACAGTAAGCGAGTATCACTGGAGGAAACACTTAAGAAACCATTTTCCAAGGAAAGTATACACATGTGGTAAATGCAACTATTTTTCAGACAGAAAAAACAATTATGTTCAGCACGTTCGAACTCATACAGGTAAGAGACGTTTTCTAGGCCATAAATTTAACTCTTGTTTCTGATTTCCAATTTGACGGTCTGCTAAATAGTGCTTCAGAAAAGGGATGCAGGTTGCATCATTTCCTCTGTTTGCAACCTTGGACAAATTATTTATATTCTAAAAACTATTTCCCTAAATTAGACTGCTTTTAAGTTTGTAGATGTATGTATGTGACATTGAACACAGCTAAGATGTAGCATAGTTTCCTAAAAGACTTGAGGGCTTATACAAAAGGAAAATCCAATAATTAATCTTCCATAGCAGCATTTAACAAAAACCTCACTTGTAAAAGCATTTGACTTGTGGTATTGAGTTCCTAAGTGGAACAACTTGTCTTTATTCCCAAAATATCAGAATGTGAGAAATTAGGGGCTGGGGATATAGAGCACTCGTCTAACATGGCATCAAGTCCTTGGTTGAATCTCTTGTACCAACAAAAGCAGAACAAAAAAACCCAGAAAATTCTCCCTAAAACCATGAAATATAAGAAGTTAGGTTTTGTTTGTTTGTTTGCTTGAGATTCTAATGATTGAGCCCAAGAGTGCTCTAACACTAAGCAACATCCCCAGCCTTGAGGGGAGGCGGGGATTGAACCCAGGGTCACTTAACCACTGAGCCATAGTTGCTTAGGGCCTTGCTGAATTGCAGAGGTTGGCTTTGAACTTGTGATCCTCCTGCCTCAGCCTCCCTGGAGTTTTTTGAGAAAGGGTCTTGCTGAGTTGTCCAGGCTGGCCTGGAACTTGCAATTCTCCTGTCTCAGCTTCCCAAGTCCCTGGGATTTCAGGTGTGCGTGACCATGTCTAGTGAGAAATTAGTTTTTAAAAGATGTATGAGATCTCCCGATTGAAATCATTTTCCTAAGAAAACAAATGTGGATATAGAACTATTTTTGTTTCAGAAACAGTTATATGTACCATGTTCTAATGCATTCAGGTTAAGAGAACATTTCTAGTCCCTAAGTACAACACTATCAAGAATTGAGAAGGTTCTCCAAGGGTGGTGGTGCATTCCTATAATCAACCAGTGACTGGGGAGGCTAAGGGTGGAGGATGGCAAGTTACAGGCCAGCTGGACAACTTGGACCCAGTCTTAAAATAAAAAATAAAATGGGCTGGGAGTGTTTTCAGTGGTGGAGTACTCTTGGGTTAAATCTCTGATGTTATCTTCCCAGCCACCGGTGTAACTAGGTATAGCACGTGCTTACTTGGTATGCCTGAGATCCTGGATTTGATCCCTAACACTAAGAAGTGTTGAACTTTCTTTAAAAATATGAGAAGTTGTCAGGGTAGTGGCCACACGCGCCAATAATCCCAGCTATTTGGGAGGCTGAGGCTGGAAGATTACAGTTCAAGGCCAGTCTCCTTGTTAATTTAGCAAGACTGTGTCTCAAAAAAACAAAAGTAACTGGGGTTGTAGCTCAATGATAAAACATCCCTGGATTCAATTTCCAGCCCCCCAAAAGAAAAACATTTCAGATTCCTCAGACGTAAAGAAAATACTAAAAATTGAGAGTTCATAACCCACTTCAATCTAATGTATGAAATATGATATGTCAAGAGCTTTGTAATGTTGTGAACAACCAATAAAAAAAACTTAAAAAAAAATAAAAAAAAGAAAAGAAAAAAAAAGAAAATACTAAGAAGCATGTACCCATTATCTACTCTCAATGGTTTTCACTATTTTATCACATTTTGCATGTTTGAGTTTTTTTTTTAAGTGGTGACTTTTTGGAATATACTTACTAATAACCTGAATCAATATAATACGGTAGAGAGTTGAATTCAACAGGTTTTAGTGTATTCAGAGTTGTGCAGCCATCACCTAAAATAGTCAGTTTTAGGACTTTTTTTTTTTTTTTTTAAATCAGAAAAGCCCTCATCTTTAGCAGTCACTTCCCATTTCTCTCCAACACTGTCGATTATTCTCCTTCCTGCCCTCTCTTCTCTATTCCCTCCCTCCCTCCCTCCCTCGTACAGGATATTGAATTTGGGGCCTCACACATGCACTGAACTGCATCCCCAATACCCTTTTTATTTTGAGAAAAAGTTTTGCTAATTTGCCCATGCCTCAAACTTGGAATCCTCCTGCCAACTCTTCAGGTAGTTGATTATAGGCTGCCTCAAATTATTCACTTCTTTTTTTTTTTTTTTTTTGTACTGAGGATTGAACCAGGGGTGTTTACCAGTAAACTACATGCCTTGTCCTTTTTATGTTTTTTAATACTGGCTATTGAACACAGAGGCTTAACCACTGAGCCACATTCCCAGCTCTTTTTATTTTTTTTAAACAATCTCGATAAAATGCTTAGAGCCTCAGCCTCCTGAGCTACTGAGATTATAGGTGTGTGCCACTGTGCCCAGCTTACTGTGGGGTCTCCATTTTTATAAAAAAATGACATTAAAAAAAATGTCTTTCAATAGTTAATTTTCACATTCCTTCCTTCCCTTTTCTTTTTGTTGTTTAACTTTTACATTTCTGTTATATTTTCTTGGTAAAAGTTAGTAGTTTTGAGGCTTATGACTGGTCTGAACAAAATGGATAAAGAGTAACCTAGTATTGTACTCTTTGGATAAGAGATGAAAAGGGGCTGTGGAGTGTTGTCTATATCCGGTTTCCTTTGTAAGGGTTAGCACCCCACACAACAGAATCCCATAGGTAAATGGGGTTTAATTAAAACTTGCAGGTGAAATTCCATTACAATTACAATTCCATGTGCCCAGTGGTATTTGCTAGTAATTCCTCTGAAGGCTGAGGCAGGAGGGTTGCAATTTCTAGGCCAGCCTGGGCAATTCAGCCAGCCCCTGTGCCAAAATAAGGGCTGTGGGTGACTCATACAGTAATTCAGGGACTCGGGAGGCCGAGGCAGGAGACTCTTAAATTCTAGGCCAGCTTCTGCAACATAAAGAAACCCTGCCTCACAAAAAGGAAAAAAGGGCTGGAGATTAACTCATTTGTAGAGCATCCTGGGTTCAGTCCCCAGTACCAATAACAAAAGCCACAGAAATTCCATTGCAAGAAGGACCCCAAAGATTTCCAGGCCCCAGCAGATGTGTTGAAAGATTTAAAATGTAGTCCAGGAAAAATTTTCCAGTCTTTGAAATTTGTTGTAACTGTGATGTCACCATGCTTTGTAACCATTCCATTCAAAAGTAAAGTTCAGCTGGGTGTGGTGGCGTCCACCTGTAATACTAGCAACTTGGGAGGCTGAGACAGGAGTATTGCAAATTCGAGGCCAGTGGTGAGTGAGGCCCTGTGCAACTTGGTGAGACCCTGTCTCAAAATAAAAATTAAGGGCTGGGGATATAGCTCAGTTGGTAGAGTGCTTACCTCGAATGCACAAGCCCTTGAGTTCAATCCCCAGCACCACAAAAATAAAATAAAAACTAAAAACTGGGGATGTGGCTCAGTGGTTAAGCACACCTAGGTTCAATCCCCAGTACCATGAATGAATGAATGAATGAATGAATAAATGCGAAGTCCAAACATTACAAAAATACATACTATAGGGGAGGGAAGTTATTTGGGAATCTTAACTCCATTCATCACTTACGGTATGTATTAGACAAAGGGTTAGACTAAACTAACCTCATCTACAATCAGTCTTTTTGTAGTACTGGGAATTGAACTCAGGCCCTCACATTAGCTGAGCAAGCACTGTACCACTGAGCTACATCCCCATCCCCTCACCTTTAAACCCAAATACTGTATATTCTTCATTCATAAGTACTTCATATTCATTTAACAGTTTTTCTGGAACTTCAGATTCTAATTTAAGATTGTTTATCTATAGAATGCACCTATAGTCGAAGCTACTCAGGAGGGAGGATCCTTGAAGCCAGAGAAGTTTCAGGTCAGCTAGGGCAACATAGCAAGACCCTTCTTAAAAGAACAAGCAAAAACTGATAGTGTTGATCCCACAGGTAATGACTAACCTTAGAGATGTTGGGTTACCAAACAATTTTGATAATTTCCCCCAAAAGCTAAAAATATAAATTTTTAAATACATATTTTTTTTTTTGAGAGAGAGAGAGAGAGAATTTTTAATATTTATTTTTTAGTTCTCGGCGGACACAACATCTCTGTTGGTATGTGGTGCTGAGGATCGAACCCGGGTCGCACGCATGCCAGGCGAGCGCGCTGCCGCTTGAGCCACATCCCCAGCCCTTAAATACATATTTTTAAAATATGAAACAGCAAATTTAACTTTGTTGATGTAAGAGCAGTTTTAGATAGGCAAAAAAAATGGAATAAGGAGAGAACAGGAAGTTTTGCTGTTGGTGTGTGTTTTTTGTTTTTTGTTTTGGCAGTACTGGGGATTGAACCCAGGTCCTCATCCCCAGCCATGATGACTAATTTGTAATTACTGCATTTTATGCATGTACTGTATCATCTGTAACTGTTTCCCCTCTTTTTTTTTTTAATTTATTTTATTTTTTTTGAGGGAGGTGCAGTTCTGAGGATTGAGTCAGGGGTTTTACCACTGTGCTACATTTCCAGTCCTTTTAATTTCTTTTCTGAAATAGGGTCTTCTAAATTGCTGAGACTGGTCTCCAACTTGTCATCCTCCTGCCTCATCCTTCTATTCGTTGGCATTATAGCAAGGCACCACTGCACCTGACTTAACTTCAGTTTCTATAGGGGGATCCTGGAGATTTAACCCAGTGGGCTCTACAACTGAAGTACACCCTTGGTCTCCCCGCCCCCACCTCCGCACCCATTTGAGTTAGACAGGGTCACTTTTAGTAACTAAGGTTGGCCTTCAAACCTGGGATCCTCTTGTGTCAGCCTCCTGAGTAACTGGAACATCTTGCTTTACATTTTTTTTTTTTTTTTAGTGACTTTTTTTTTTTTTCCTGGCAGTTTGTGGCATGTGTCTATAATTCCAGTGACTGGGAAGACTGAGACCAGGATCCCAAGTTGGAGGCCAAACTCATCAATTTAATTAATTAATTAATTAATTAATTAATTAATTTTCAGC